TCGCACCTTACCTTATTTCATCTTGTAACCGTTGGTTCTACGTCTGGAAGTCATTCTATACTTTTCAAAATCGAAAATTTGACTTCAGATTCGTATTTAACTTATGAAACTGGGTCGAACAAGTTACTTTAGACTGATCTTCTCCTTGAATTTATCGCGTTCAAGATCATGAGTACATCTCATGGATAAATGAAATATATGGACAACATTGTTTGGATAGTAATTCATCAATGTTGTTATCTATCAAGCTCGGATTTTTGTCATTCAATAGAATATATTTAGAACGATCTGATTAGATGAAAATAGCAAAGATTAAATATTTTGAACATCGTTTTACATCGTCAGAAAAGTCATCTATAAAAGAAGAATGAATCATGAAAAGCAATGATGTCAAAGAACAATAGTGCTTCAGATATCAAGTCACCTCCCAAAACCTCATAATTTTCAAGCAAGTTTACTAATGTATGAGGAGAAAGCGCCCAGATAGATCCATTTTTTTGGTTGGTACATACATTGTGCCACGGCTGAGCACAATAAGTTTGCGATCCTTCACAAGAAATTCCTCTGGCCATAGTTGTCTCGATTACAATGAGCTGAGTGCGTTGACAAAAAACTAAAAATGAGACACTAATTCAACGCCAATTCAATATGAATTTGGTTTCATTCTATTAATGATTCAACCACATGCATGATCTACTGTTCAGCTGTATTATTTCACTCTCTAAGTCAGCACAAGCGCAGTCCACATAGCATCCTATCAATATGAATTTGGACGTATATTTGCTTTTGTTGGGATTTTTCAGTTTAAAACTAGGAGTAACCATTTTCCTGCCATCTCTCATTTGATAGCTTTTTCGAAAGCTACAGAATTATATTTTTCAAAGTTGAAAGCCACTAACCACTTATGAAATTCCCAGGCACATTATTATTCTCGAGTGTTTAATGAAGTTTTCTTGTAGTGTCGAACAGATATAGAAATTGTCCTTTTGTAGCATTACACTGTTGATGTTCATGACATCTTTTGCTTATAAAAGTCAAAATGTATTTGCAAATAACCCTTTATTTCAATTATTAATCCGTATATTCTGATATCCTTCTGCATCAGTTGTTAAGACGATTATTTCTTATATAATATTAAATATTAAATTGGACAAATTTCTTAAAGAAATTTTCAACTACTCTCTATTCTATCTGTTCTAGCTCAAGAAGCTATTGTTTTATTGAATTAATGACGACCACTATTATTGAGTTGTATATGTGTACTATTTTAAAGACGAATTAAGAACAAAATTTAACTAAACAGAGAGACAGAGAAGCTACAAAGTGATTGATATAGTTTACTTAATTTAAACTATATTCTATTATAAATCGTTTCAATTTCTCTTTCGTTGTTTCGCAAATACTATAGCTTTAATTGAAGTATAAGAGAATTCACTGATTCATATAAAGAACAAAAGACAATCTGATCTTGTGCGACATCTTACTAATATGCTGACTATTTGACAGCATCGTTTATATTTATTTGGTTGTTATTGATACATGTTTTTCATGGATCGATTTACAGTGTCAACCGATCTTTTTCTTCTTTCGTTTTGATACTTATTATTTTTGATCTTCTTTTTTGAAGATGTCTAAATACAATATAGTAATATTAATAATATATTTTGTTTCAAAATGCAAATTGGAAAGTTTTTTCTAAACCATTTTTCTCATTTGATTGTCTTAGTAATCAAATATGCGTATTCAAAAGCGTACAGTTAGTGATGATACTGCTGATAGCTTTAGGCAAAACTCATCGATTTCAAAGGAACAAAAAAATCATAAATCTTGGCGTCGATTTATGAATGAAAGAGCAATTGATCGAGCTTATGCACCAACAACTCATGGTATACTCTTTTTCTTATAAAATGATGATCTTCATTTCTCTAATTTCTGTTTATATAGAACATGCAGCAAATTGTTTAACACATGGTTGTCTGATTATTCCATCGTTTATTGCTGCTCAACGACTAATATCTCATGCAAAAACACCAGCACAATATTGGAGTAGTATTATCTATGGTAATGCTCTCATTTTTCTCTTTTCATCTTCGACTGTTTTTCATTGTTCATGTTTTCATCCAACATACAGGTAGAAGTAGAATTTTTTCAGAAAATAACTAACATAGATTTTATTTTATTTATAGAGATTCAACAGTGAGACATTTATTACATCGAGTTGATCGAGCAATTATTTACATTTTTATTAGTGCTAGTTATACACCATGGTTAGAATTCATGATATATTTGTATATTAGAGTTTTAGTTTACATTTTTTTAGGCTTCTTCTTCGTCCAATTCAAGCAATTTCAACAATCTTCACTGTAGGAATCGTTTGGGTAATGGCTATATTAGGCATTACCTATCAGATTTTATATCATGAAAAACATAGATGGTTTGCAACATGTTGTTATGTTGTTGTTGGTGTTTTTCCTGCTATTGTTATAATTGACATGGTATACTTAAGCAATTGATAAAAATCAGAAATAACAATTTTTTTTGTTCATTTATTCGTTAATTTTAGACTGATCATACCGGTATTTTTGAATTGGCTATTGGTGGTTTAGTTTTCTTGTTGGGCATTTTTTTCTTTAAATGTGATGGGATCATACCATTCGCACATGCCATTTGGCATTGTTTTGTTTTTTTCGGCGCTGCTATTCATTACTATGCAATTTATACTTATCTTCTTGTACCACCATTGTCTCACGATGAATTTTATTATAGAAAATAGTTCTATCGAATAATGTATACACATAATGTAATCTAACGTATGATGCAAAAGTAATGGAACAAATATCGGACTCTGTTTCTCTTCAATAGAAAGGGATTGAGCAGAAAATGTTTTACCAAAAAATACAACTTTTTCTCCTTTTTCGAATCACATATTATTTATTTTTGTCACACGTTCATAAACGAAACGGCACAACAGAAAAGAGAGACACTCTTAAAAAGTATTCGAGCTTTTCATGAGGTTCAGAAAGAAACAGCGCAAAATGTTACTTCCTGTAACTCTCCGATAAACATGTTTTGATACGAATATTTTTTTTTGCAGTGGATAAAAAATGTTCTCCTCTCTCGAACAGTATATAATTTACATGCGTCTCATATAGGTAAATGGAAGGAGGCAAGAAAAAAAGAGAAACATTCACGCAATAAATTTATAATTTTTATATGAATTCATGAAAAACATCTTGCTAGACAACAATAAATGCGATTTCTATGAAGTTATAGAAAAGATCTTGTAAAACAGTGGTTACTTTGACTTTTAAGAACTGGTTAAAAACATCTTGCAAAACGACAGTCAGTCGTAATCAACTATTGTCGACAAGATATTGTTAACGAATTCATTTAAACATCAAAAAAATTTTTTGTGCGGGTGTTTCTTTGGTTTCTCCTCTGGTTTCACTTACTAATATGTGACAAATATGAATCATACACTGTTCGAAAGAGAAGAAAACTTCCCATCGATTGATAACAAAATATTCTTTTTAGAGCCTATTTATCCAAAAGATATAAGGATCAACATTTTGTGCACCCTTTTATGAAAAATTGCCCATGCTCTTTATGGGTGCTTTTCTTTTATGTTGCATCTTTTGGTTCAGTACCTTTCTATTGAAGAGAAATAGAATGCGACATTTGTCCCATTACTTTTTTATTATATGTTTGTTGCATCTACGTCGTCTGATATGATTTATCTTTGTTTGCTACTTCAATGAAAAAAAAAGCATTTATATGAAAATTTGACAGAATTGAAATTTTTTTATGATTATGTTCTTTCTATTTCTACAGTGGTTTTCTTCATGATCTTTTTGCTATATTCTTTAATTCATTTCTTTTTTGCTTGTTGGTTTTTGCCGGTGACTGCATCGGTGTTTGTTCATCTTCAGAGTTTGCTGTGTAAGCGTCTATAATATTTAATAACCAAAAATAAGGAGAAAAGTATGTCGTTTGATTTAAAGAATGCTATTGTGTATAATAGTCTTTTATTCACTTTTAATAAAGAATTGATAGGAACAAGAAAAAAAAAAGAAGGCAACACTATGTAAGACTCTAATTTTTCATAAGGCATTGGTTCATGATGCATAAATGAGTGAAAAATAAGATAAGCATATTCACAACATTCAAGATAAGAATGAAAATATAATGATAGCATAAAAAAATAATAATAATTCACGATTTCTTCTTTTTCTTCTTTTTCTTGCCTTTCTTAGCGCCTTCCCATGGGAACCCTCGTGCATCTAAACATTCAGCAACGTTATGACATATGTAATAAGCATTGATTATAGCCGCTGGTGATAACACATCGACTTCTGTACGTACATCAGCACTTTTAGCACGAGCTTTACGTTTTGGTGATGCACTTGTTCCACGTGCTGTTTTTGCTGATTTAGCTTTTTTTGTTGGCTATATTGCAAAATGATAAATAAGATATTAATATAAGATCATTATTATTTCTCACCATAATGAAATAAATTATAAGAATTGCATTGACTTTAACATAATGTTTATAAGATGTTAAAGTTTGTTATATTTCTTTTTTGTTGCTGCAATAACAACACGAAATGGCTTCAAAGGCAAAAATATAACAACAAAAAATGAATGAAATTTTTGTTTTCTTCTGTTGATTACACATACCATAATAGCGTATGTTGTCAAGGAGAATACACTCACTATAGCAATTCTTTTCTGATTGTTGCAATAAATCAACCAATGATAGATATGTTTGTAGACAAATATCAATCCTATTTATTTATTTGTCTGAATGTATTACAGAATTGAATGTAAGTAGAGAAAGACGATAGTTTTATTGACTGAAGGTTGTATATGAATATTATATATTTAAGTATTTTCAAGTTATTTGACAACAGTAATCAACGAATCATTGTCATAATTTTGTTCTAGATTTTGTGTATGTGTATAGAACCAAAGGTAAATTAATTTATCAGTGATCATTCAATATGCCAATCTTTCCACCAAAACGAAAATCTCAAACTAAAAAGGATGATCCAATGAGTGGTATTAGTCCATCAACAACGGATACAACAACAAACACATTATCTCCGAATACAAGTACATCGGCAGCAACGACTCTTAACCGACCATCATCATATTCTTCTTCAAGTAGTCGTCGTTCAACTGCTAGTTCATCAAATGGTGATACACGTGTTGATCCACCAAAACTTGTTTTTCATTGTCAATTAGCACATGGTAGTCCAACTGGTCTTATATCAGGTTTTAGTAATGTTAGAGAACTATATCAAAAAATAGCTGATTGCTTTGAAATTCCTGTCCAAACAGTAAATATATTTTATTAAAAATATTAAAAAAATATTTATTTTTGTTTTAAAGATTCTTTTTTGCACATTGAATACACATAAAATTGATATGAGTCAATTATTGGGTGGACAAATTGGTTTAACTGATTTTATATTTGCTCATGTTAAAGGACAACCAAAAGAAATTGATATTGTTAAATCTGAAGCTGCTCTTGGACTAACAATAACTGATAATGGAGCAGGTTTGTTTGACATGTTAAAAAAAAGAAAATATTTTGTTTAACTTTATTTTGTTTTGTTATTGAAATAGGTTATGCTTTTATTAAACGAATTAAAGAAGGAAGTGTTATTGATCGACTTAAAACATTAGTCAAAGTTGGTGATCATATTGAAAAAATTAATGATAAATCATTAGTTGGATCACGGCATTTTGAAGTGGCTAAAATGCTTAAAGAGCTTCCAGTTGGTTCAACATTTACAATGCGTCTAGTTGAACCAAATGCTTTCGGATTTCGTACGTAGATAAATACCACTAAAAAAAAAGAATTCAAAAGCAATATCTAACGAGGAAACATTCCTAAATGATCCACTAATACACAGGAAATCACTTGAGTAGCGTATCTTCTAAATGTCTTCTGTTCTTGCTTAGAAGTGGTCAAGATAGCGACTTTTCAACAGATTCACTATGCAGAAGTCCAATTTTCGAAAAACATTATATTTAGAAATTTAGACCTGAAATTTTGTATACATGAAGGTCTTAATTAGACTATCTCATGTGCAAAGCTTTATCAGTTTTCGATGTCACATTCCCAACATACGAATTTTTTCAGTATATTCCTATCTTACATAGCACTTTTAAAAAAAGCGTAGATATATTGAAAAATTCATATCTTAGCAATGTGATATCCAAAACTGATAAAACCTTGTATATGAGATAGTCTAATCAAGACTTCTACGTGTACAAAGTGTTAGAGCGAAATTTCCAAATAGAATTTTTTTTTCGAAAACTTGACTTCTGCACGATGAAGTTACTTAAAACCTTCAGAAGTTATGCTACTCTAGTGATTTCCGACATATTAGCAAAATATGAGGACAAATAGAGCGAATCAATTGGGAATGTTCTCTCGTAAGTAAATCTTCTATATCTGTAGACATCTTTCTAGAATTCTAAGACATTGCATATTCTATTAGTGTATTTTCAAAAACTCCGATTATCAAATCTGGAAAACAACTTTCATTACAACCTTATTTTTGTGCTTGTCAAGCCTCAAGATTAAATCAATTGACTCTATAAATAAACAATTTGAGTTGAGCATTCTATTGAAAACCGAAACATTAAGAAATCCTATTCTTTCGTATTTGTATGATATATTTATATTGAAAATAATTTATAGATATTGAACCAGCTAAACGTGGTCGCAAGACAGGTGATGTTAAAAATGGTACCAAAACTCTTCGGTTTAAAGCTGATGGCAGAGCAAGTGTTGAGGACGTTGATGATACAATGGTTAAAGCTATTGATCGTATTAATGGTCTTCTTGAAACATTTATGGGTATCAATGATTCTGATCTTGGTAAGTTCTCAAATCAATGATGATATTAATTAAAATAATTTGATAATAAAAATGATATTTATATCATGTTTCAGCTTTGTCTGAGATTTAGGATCTTATTTTCAATTGAAAATAAATATTTTCTTTTCTTTTGAATATTTTAGCACAACAAATTTGGGATTTTGCACAGAATAAAAAGAATCCAAGTGATTTTGCTATGGCTATTGATGAGTCAGAAATCGGTGCATTTAATTTCACCGATGAATTTATCTTTGATTTATGGGCAGCTATTGATGATATAAAAGCTGGACGAATAAAAGAAAGAGATTACGAAGATGAACGATTATAAATGAAAAGAAAAAGAAACGAATTTTGCTCTTTTTAAAGTCAACGCCGGTGCACATCCTGTTTTTTTTTGTTTTCATTTTATTTAACATGGTATAAGACCGGTCTTAGAAACGAAAACAAGCTTATGTGAACATCGCTTATCTTTATAATTTGTAAATATCTTTTATTTCTCTGTGCGTTTTAATTTCTAGTCTTTTTCGGATGAGCCGCGATGATGACAAAAAGGTTTCCATTCCGTCTTTTTAAAAATATTTATCGATCTGACGACAATCGAATCTTTCTTTGTTTCTTTTTGTTTTTATTTACATTCCATTTGTTCTTTTCCTTTTTTTGCTTTATATATCTATTGTTTTGCTTTGTCAAACTCGCTCTTGACGATTAACCCGTCCATTACTTTGTGTCCTTGAGAATTTCAATATTAATGATTTATTTCAGTTAGATAGAAATAATATACTCATTCGTCCGTCTGCATGTGTAAAATCGTTTTATTGCTAGCTCTTCATATAATTACATTTCCAAACATTTTTTTTTTGTGTTTGCTTGTTATTTCAAATAAATAATTATAATAATATAAAATAAATTTAATGACTAGACATATTTATTCTCTGTGAGTAGGACTAGTAATTTACTATGTACATTTACAGATTTTGAATTTAATTCGTATATAAAGCGGATTGAAAAAGTTTAAATCAGTTTTAGTATTGTATTGATTACATCGTTACCAAAAAAAAAACAAACAGAGACAATTTTCAAAAATATATCATTAATTACAGAATTGAACAGACTACATTTTGGTATACAAATTGTTGAAAAATTATGAGTTACAATAATTTAATATTAACTATTAATAACTAGAGAAATGTGTTGTTATGAATTTTGATTTTCAAATACTCCGTTAGAAAGAGCATTGAAAACTGAATAACACAGTATATTTTTGTGCTGAAATAACTCTTTATAACAGGATTTCTTTAAACATTAGTTAAAACTTAATTAATACTCGATTAATAATTAAGAAAAGTGAGTTCTAAGCATAGACTTTGGGACTCTAAAAAATAGTACCTAATGTAGAACAGGCTTTTCTTGATCAAATGAGATAGTACACTTTTCTGTGCAATGTGTTCCTCATCTAATATAAGCCTTTTATCTTCGGTCACTGATTTCCGCGATGATTTTCAAATCTTTTTCGCTTACTTCTAATCTTAATAGTTTTAAAGTGCTATATCTGCTGTGAAACACATAGCACAGAAGAGTACAACTTATAATTTTGATAATGCAAAGTTTACTCTACAATAAGCACGATTTTTAAAGTTCTAAAGTCTGTTTAGAACTCAATTTTCTTAATTATTAATAGAGTACTAATTAAGTTTTAACTAATGTTTAAAGAAATTCTGTTATAAAGAGTTATTCCAGCACAAAAATATACTGTGTTATTCAGTTTTCATTGCTCTTTCTAACGGAGTATTTGAAAATCAAAATTCATAACAACACATTTCTCTAGTTATTAATAGTTAATATTAAATTATTGTAACTCATAATTTTTCAACAATTTTTATACTAAAATGTAGTCTGTTCAATTCTGTAACTAACGGTATATTTATGAAGTGTTTTAAACTTTTGCATGCTAAAGAAAAATAAAGTTTCTTTTTTTTCTCTTCTTCCTACTACAGCCAATTAGATGAAGAATAGGTGATTTGTATAAATCTTAACTCTAATCTTATATGAGACTTAGAATATATCATTTATCGTTTTTCTCTCAAATAAAATACGGAAATAAAAAGTGTCTTAAATTGTTGCAGTCCATTTTACATATTTAACATCTTTCTTGATTGATCAATATGAGTGAATATATCTGCAATGATGATCATTAGAAAGCAAAATATAAATGATACAAACTAATGAACAAAAAAATAAATGTATACATGGATATAAACATCAAATCATTTTGAAATCGATTTTGATCTACTAACCATCTGTGCATACGCATAATTAGACCTTAGGAAGCACTTGAAATTCTTTTAGCCGGAAAATACAATTGTCATGGCCTCGTATACTATTATCACTGAACTAATTGCTTTTTGCAACATATTCTCATAAGAAAGAAAAAAGATGACCCTACCAGTGGCACAAGGTCATTGTTGATCACGGTTCAATAAACAGTTCATCATCGCGTAGAAACTCATTTGTTAGATCAAGTGAGTAATACACACAAAAAAAAGGGTAGAAAAAGAAAAAGCACGTTTATAATGATAAACTACATGGTAGCACCTTCGTTTTCTCGTGACTTATCGCTTTTTTTTTCTTAAATGGATTGATAGGCACAATTAAATTGAAAACAGATATACTAACAATAGCAAATAGAAAAATCGCTCAACTGTTTGTCTTGTATGGCAATGAACATTGTACAAACACAAAACAATATACAATCATATCACATACATGATAAATGGTTCAATCAAAAATAAATAATAATTTTCTTTACATTCTTCTCATTCATTCTTTAACTTAGCTGAACAACATTAAAGAACCATCTGGTGACCGAATGCATTGAAATATTAGTTATATATTCTTTAAATGACCACTTCTTTGATACTTTGATCTTCAACATTTTCTTGGTAATATCGTGCGTGACAAAAAGACGTTCTACACTTAAATATGGCTCATGCAATGATATAATTGATGGTCATACTGATTTTTCCCTTTCTCTTTTTTTCTTTTCTTTCTTTTTTCTTCTGTCCAGAAATACAGACCATCAACATTCTAGATCATATGGCTTCAAAATGAGATGTATTATCAATTAGATTGAGTGATTATGATCGGAACTCCTAAATATTGAAAGGTAAATAAATGATCGTTTTAGTTCCGTTTTGTTTAAACAATGAATTTCATTTCCTCTATTCATATAACATACTACAGTCATTAAATCATCATTACCATTGGCGACCTCTTGTACAAGTAGTTTGCATTACATATATTAGCCGAATAAATAATCTATATTAAGCATATCATCAAAAATGTAATAATAACATTAAGAAAATCATCATTTCGAGACAACGTATCATGTTTAGTGGATCTTGTACGAGTATAGAAAGGCTTCTTATTCATTTCTTTTTTTTTCTGTTTGATTCAGTCACAGATACTAGTAGTACTGTTTCCGTGTCTTCAAGTGACAGTATGATTTCCGATTTTAGATTCTTATTTGTCATTTACGTCATACTTGTTCTTCTTTTTTTTTTTTTGTAATACGTATACAACTTTTAAAATGTAGTAGAAAAAATTAGAATTGTCTATATCTGTACGCAGATAGAAATACGTTCACAGATGGACCAAAAAGAACAAGAGAACATGGTCTCCTGCGGCGACAACCATTTGACCTAATTATTTTACTTTCGTCTTTATCTTATTCTTTTGTCATTATCATCATCATTAGCACTATATGAGTGTGAACACATTAGTTGAGTAGTTGCATTATTTAGTATAAATTTTTCTATGTAAACTAATTTTTTCAGTCTTGTGCAAATAATCATAATTTTACGTCTTGTCTTGTCAGTCAATCAATTGACCGACATTAACGCCTCTCTTCTCGATCCTTATTAAAATCATTTTAAAGAATGTCAATCGATTTTTTTTTTCTATATACGCCCATTCTCTTTTGTTGCAATAACAGAATACTTATCAAAGAGAACAGCACCTATTTCTAAAGCTTTAATTCATTTTATCGTTGCTTTGTTATAGAAACTTCGACATTCAGAATGAAATAAGAAAAAAAAAAAGAAAGACTATCATTATTCTGTCATCGATGTGTTGTGTGTTTAACAACCAATCAAGTCACATTGCTTCATATCTTTGTCATGTTTAATTATACCATCAAAATTGTTGGTATGTTTTAACAAGTAAGTTTCCAGTCAGTTACTTAGTTTGATGAACCGTATAAACTGTGTACATGTTGTGCAATATTTGAAAATCATCACGCGCATATAATATTTGATCAAACATAACTTATATTGGTTGGTTAAGTAGTTAGATTCATCAAGTAGAATAAAAAAGACAGTTCTATTTATGATTGTGTCACATTGTGCACACACTCGACTGTCTTGTCATCTCGTTGAATAAACTTGTAATGCAATATGAATACAATGATAATCATCATCTTCATCATATTATTATTGGCGTATGTGAACTGCCTCTTGGACAGTGAAGGCAGTCGAGCGAATAGGACAAATATTTATAGTAATGTATCGTTATAAGAACATGCCTTTGTGATAAAATCAAAATAGAATTTTTCTTTTTCTTATCTTGAACATTCTTGTTATGAACGAACTTATTATTTTTATGATAATAGGCTACTTGTTCAATAAAACAAATAGGATCTATGTATTAACTTTTCATATCTTCAAAATTTATCTTTAATATTTATTTGTAACTCCCTAGTATTTTGTAGATAAGTCGGATCTTTCTTGCTTAATCCATTATCGATTGATCTGATGACTATATGAGATAACTACTTTCCTCTTTTTCTTTTTTGGTATTCGCCTGTGGCACTTCGGATCTTGCGTCACATCTCACTATGACTGCTACTGATGATGCATGTGTACTATTATTGTTTCATCCCTAATGATAGCCACTACCATTCTATTTCATCACTAGAGAGTAAGTTCAATTGTTTTTCGTCTCTTCTATCCATTCTATACCCTTGAAGAGATTTTATGCTCGATAGATTGTTCATGTTAGTGGTGTTTAGTTCAAGTATATATCTTTTTTTCTTTCTAATGTCAACATCCACGCATAGATAGTACAAAAGATTAATATGGTTATAATAAAGAGATGATGACTAGTTGAGTATATATGCATTGTTAATAAAAGAAGTATTATATAATCAATAGGATTTGACCGATATGCATGTATTCAAATAATAATGAAGACATTAAGTTCAATGTCATATATTGTTTTATTGCTTAAGAAAAAAAAACAAAAGAAAAATTACGAATAAAAATGATTATATTATTTTCCACGAAGGAATGCTTTTGTCTTCGTTGTCAGTTTCATGTAAACGAGACAGAAATACACCAATTTTCATTATCATATGTTATAAGTAGCCTAACATCATGCTGATAGTGATGATAAGAGTAGAATATTATTGTTTATATAAGTAATTGTTGTTTATAGTAAAAAAAGAGAAACAAAGAAAAGATATATTCTGTATTCTCTTGATTTTTCTTTGCATTCATTAATTTGTTCTGTTTTTTTTTTGAGAAACAGAACGCTGAAAAACTAATTTGTTATGAGTGTATATTAAAAGTCGCTTGATGATTTGCTTCAGACATAAAATGATCAAGATTGCACGCGTATGCACGTACGCATGCTTTAGTCGATCGACAGACATACTATAATGAATAAATCAAATTGTTCATGAGCGAAACTGACACACACAAGCATAAATTATAGAAAAGCAATGTTGAATTAGAATAACTAATACAATTACAGTTTAGAAGTCTATATCACTTGTCGCCGACCGCCATTCGTTTGATGAAGCAATCTTTTCTCTCTTGTATCAGCTTGATCAGTTGATTTCTATGCTTGTTTCATTTTCTTTTTCTAATCGGATGTCAGTGTTTCCGAATCAAATTAATAATAGTAAACGATGGTGACCCTTTTCTTTTCTCATTGTCATTTAGTTTTCACGTTTCATGTCTCAATACATATACATACATACATATCTATAGAAACATGTGCGTGTGGAATGTGTGAAAAAAAAGAACTATCATTGCTGCGGGTCTGACGTTTAAGAAGTTGATCGTATATCTTGTCATAGACGTATCATACTACAAGAAAACTATATTTATATGTATAGATACATGACTTGAAATTATGTTGTATATATGTACGTGTTTTGTAGTGAGTATAATTGACTGTTAAAATAATGTTATGTGTCTGCTGTATTCTTTGCATTACTATCATCAGTCTGTATGTGTGTCACCATAAGGGAATTAACTTATTTCGTAGTGAACACATCAGACAGCTTGATTTTCTCATACTTATTTGAAACACACAGTTTAAGACATTGAATCAACTATTCTCTGTATTTTTTTAATTTTTGTCTGTCTGTCTGTCTCAAGTTGATTGACATACGCTCAAGTGGAACAGTAATTGCAAATATTGATGGTTTGTTACGGAATAGACGAGTGCAGATGATGCGTGGATTAATATTGATATTCGATAAGTGAGAGTATCATCGATACTTTACAATCATCTTTTCAACAATTTGATGTATTTAAATAGATTGATCATTGCTTGAATGTGAGACAAAGGTGAAATAAAAGATCTCACAGTTGCTACCATTGTATGTATGTGACTTTTCAATTTAACCGTTTAAATGTCATCATAATGGTGTATGTGCGTGAAGGTCTAATGCGTATAATATCCATCAGTAAGAATAACAATGTGAAACAGAAATCGATTAGACTTTTTCTCTTGTCATTTAATGTCTACCCATTGAAATAAACATTTAATTCTCTTTATCGTTTGTTTCGTCGCCCATTCTCTCTTCGTTTCTCAAAATATTGGCGGATTTCCTCTTGTCATCTGTTTATTCTCAGGTATTGTACTTAATTCTACAAGTATCACTTGAAGTTGTGCATCACCGAGTAATTGAAACATGTTCCGATATAAGCCTATTTTCCGGATGTTGTTTTTTTTTCTTTTTATTTCAATCATGTGTTCATACTAGATTCATTGTTACGGTAAGTAAAGCATTTTAATTCCAACTGAATGAATACATTGTTGGCACTGACAATTGAGTCTTTTTTTTTAAAACTTTTAATGTATGTAAGCATGAAAAGAGAATTATCATGATCGTGAGGAAAGAGAGAATAATCAGAAGAAGAAAAAAAATTAAACAAAGAACATGATGTATGCAATATGATGCACACAATGATGATAATGTGTGAGTGATCGTGTGTTTATATATATATATATATACCGCTGATAATACTAACTACCGATGACACGTATGACATTAGGCGGCGAGACACCTCTATTTGTTAATTGTTATTGGTCTCAGTCTAATAAAAGAAGAAAACCATATTTTGTCTGTTTTACTCATCGTTAGATCGTGTCGTTCAGCTAATTAAACTTGACCTCTTCTTTTCTAATCAACTTATATTGTTCCATCATGCGCATACTTCACGAGAGTAACAACAAAGAGAAACAAAGTATTATCTTAAGGTCTCTCTGTCTCTCGAATGACTCGTTTCTATTTCTTGTTTGTTTTATTTTATACACGTTTGCCGCTCATTAATTTGACTGTGAGAAAAAAGAATGCGATAGCCTTCGTCTTCGACTACGTTTGATCTTTTGTAAAAGAAAGAAAATAGTTGATCGTTTTCTTTCGATATTCATTTCACACATTTATCTCATTATACATATACCATCTGATATATATATATATATATATATATATAGAAACGAGTATCAATCTCTTTGTCACATTTTAATAATCAATATTTAATAGAAATAATTACTTTTTGTGAAACATGATCTAAAAGAAGCGTTAAAGTGTATAGAACAGACACTCTAGAGACCCAACACAGACTGTAAAAGACGCTATCTAGAGACCATCACATACCATGACATACGTTGTTGATATACGATCATAGACTGTATATTAAAAACGGTTCGTTACAGTATATTAACCATGTCCTCATTATATTTCTGAAGGACTAAGAAAACGGAGGGTAACGAAATGTGTTTCGATATATATAGAATAAAATAATCTCTCTGTGATAAGCAGCAACAACAGCTGCGTCGTGTTTCACATTTTTATTTCACAAGGATTACGCTAACATTTTTTTCTTCAGATCTTATGTCTTATTTATTCAATGATGAATACTCTAATTCTTATTTTCTATTTAATCAAAATAACAAGTTCAATAAGTCTCCATGTTTCAAATCCATTACAACGCTTTGTTTATGATGATTTAACTGATACAATTATTTTAGCATCTGTAAATCACATATATTCATTAAATGGGAGTGATCTATCAATTATATCTGATATTGATCTATCACAATCAAAAACAGATCATAATTGTTTAATAACAAATAAAACATCTTTATCAAAAAATCTTTATTATTTTTCTACATCATCATATTTAACACCATCCATAAATAATATATTTAATCAATTACTTCTTTTAACCAATAATTCAATATTAATATGTTCAACATCAAATCGTGGTGGTTCATGTCAATTACGCTCATTAATTAATCTTAATTTAATAAAAAATTCTTCACAACGTGTTGTTTCATCATCACCATTTTATCCATCAGTTGGTATTATTAATAAAAATAATCAAATATTATACATATCAAATACATATGATTCAATATGTGATCCATTTTATGAAATTCCAACAATAAGTGGTCGTCATTTAATCAATAATGAATTTTTATCAATTATCAATTTAAATTCTGGTCAATCAGCATTACAACAATCAACATATACATTACGTTTATTAAATATACGTTTAATAAAAGATTTTTTTCTTTATTATTTATATGCATTTGAATATAAACATTTTTCTTATTTTTTAACTATACAACAATCTGATGTTCACCATACAGGAAAATATAAATTACAAACAAAAATTTTACGTTTTTGTCAAACATTAAAGCAATCGATTATTAAAAGTTATGTTGAATTACCTATAACATGTGGAAAAAATTATAATTATTTAATAACTGCAAAATTTTCCAATGAAAAAAATATTTTATATGGATTATTTCGTAATACAACATTAGCAAATTTGACTAGTACGTCACATGCTATATGTACATATTCAATTGATTATATACAAGAGACATTTTTTCAAACAATAAAACGTTGTCTTGTCGATGGAAAAGGTTATCGTGGCTTAGATTTTATTAGTCCGGATACACATTGTATACCGAGTAAAGTAAGTTGAATTAAAAAGAATTATTAAAATAGAAAATTTCTTTTTTTCTATTTAGAATTTAAACGATATAAATAACGATTATTGTCCAGATGAGAATGATAGGTTTTTTCAATATCCAATTGGTGGTCATCAATTAATTGAACAAACTCAACCGATTATTGAATTTAATGATAAAGTAAATTTTACGGCAATTGAAATAGGTTCAAATGAAAATGATACGATAATTTTTGTGGGTGATGATAATGGAACTGTACATACGGTAAAGTTCTGTTGTTTCTCTTGTTTTTTGAAATTGTTGTCTTTGTTTCTTTGATTTAGTTTCAAACTTCCAATACAAATGATATTTATAAACAAAATTTTCAATCGAAAATTATCATTGATTTGAAGTTGATTCATAAAAAACCAACGTTAAAAAATGCTAATCTTATTGTACTCACTGATAATCAGGTAATAAATTTGGTTATAGCATTAACATATTAGAGAAGTCTGTCAGCTGATTAATCCTTTTGAAGTCTAGACTACGTAGATCATGTAGACCCTAATGAGTTATGAAGATTCTGAAATTAGTTCGGGCTATTAGCTTATTTCTATTAAGACGCTGCATTTTTTAGGTACTTTTTAAGTCAATGCCGAGCTTCCTGTTCAGGAACATTTGGTAAACTTATTTTCAAATTTCAGATTCAAACTCTGCATAGAAACGGATGGTAACGAGAATAATCTATTGTAAAAATTTCAGATCTTTCGATTTATTCCTTTCTTGAATTAAGAACATCAATTCTATCAGTGTATTTAGGCTGTAAAAGAGACAATTTTTTTGTCACAGCTGTATCTTAGAATGTAAATGGTCAAATGAACTGAAACTTTTACAATAAACTATTCTCATCAAATTTTGTTTCTGTGCAAAGTTTGAAGTCAAAATTCGAAAATGAGTTTTCCTACTGTTTCTGAGGGTGGGACACGGTATTGATTAAGAAAATATCCTAAAAACGCAATACCTTGGCAACAGTCAGTTAGAGGGCCCAGATCTTCTCAGGATATTTATATCTCATTAGACTCTACAGGATGCACAAAGTCTCAACTCAAAAACAATTAATCAGTTGTGAAACGTTCTTCGTTAGTTTTAGAAAAATGCTTATCAACTATTCCAAGTGACAATAGAAATTTATTGTTATTCTAAATGAACAAGCGTTCTCTATATAGTATACTTCAAAATATCACAACACATTTTGAATAATGATAAAGTCAGACTAGCATCCTGCTACTGAAACCAATAATGATTTGATGCTCTTTTATTAACGACAATACCACTTCAACTGATACTCGCTATTTGAGGTTATATTGAGTCTACAAGGATGTCTTCGTCACACTAACAAAAATCTAAAAGGATTTGTTTCTGTAGACGCCTTAAGTTCATTTTACTGACTTATGCCGAAAAATCAAAAAGCCGTATTTTGATGTAGTATTTTATTCACAGATAGGTCTAGTAACCCGTAGAATACTCTGAAAGTTTCAGCCGCAAAGAATATTCTTTTATTAAGATATGTAATTTCCAAAAACTAATCGCTTGCTACCGATATGATACAAAAATCGAATTTACTAGAAAATTCAATATTGCGACAAAGACAAATATTCTTTTAGACTGAAACTTTCCAAATATTCTACAAGTCCTTTGATCTATCTTTGACCAAAACTGTATATGAAAATTCTGCTTTTTCATTCTCGGTATGTACCTAAAACTGAATAGAAAATTCAGTAGAACGATTCTAACTCATCTATGGATACGAATCCTTGGTGAGACTTTTGCTAGTCTCACCAAGATATCCTTGCATGTTCAATATAACCTCAAACGGTAGATATCAGTTCAAGTGGTTTCCTCATAATATGTTCTTAACCTAAGGATACTAAAAAAAGGCACCGAATCACCAATCTATAACAGAGACGTGTTTGAAAATTCTACTAGATATATAGTTCGAGCATAAATATTCGTTTAAGCACTTGTAAAATTCATGTTTCAACAAATTAGATAATAAAGTACTCAGATTTATACTTTGTTGAAGTATTGGATAACAATATGAAAGTATCTGTGACATACGCTACCATATTGCCAGAATCGATTTACTATACATTCGTTAGGATAGTAAAACATAATAAAATTTTCTGTTCATTCTTCATTTAGATAATTAAGCAAAATTTAAGTATATGTGAACAGTATACAACATGTAATGATTGTTCAAATGTTGCACTTTGTCATTGGTGTTCCAAAGAGAATAAGTAAAACTTGAGATTTTTTACGACAGAAATATTAAAATGTATTATTTGTTTTTTTTTCTCATAGGTGTACAGCTACATATGAATGTGTACATGATAATCCGAGAAATGATCGAATTAATATGTGTACACATATCGAACGAGTTATTCCACAAACAGTATCATTAAATACACTACATACTGAAGTAAACATTTTTTAATCAATCTTGTTATTCTAATTTGTTTTTGATTGTTTTCTAGTTACAAGTTATTTTCAATATTCCATTACGAAATAATAGTGTCGATGAATATATGTGTCGATTCGGTTTTAATGATCAAGAAGAACCGTACCATACAAAAGCAATTCTTAATCGTAATATAGTAAAGTGTTTTCCACCTATATTAAACAATACGGATCGAGGTAGAATGATATTATCTTATTTTATTTTTTTAATAGTATATTATTTTTAGCTATTTATAATGTTATTTTATCAATTGATCATATAAAAACAAATGTAACATTTGGACATTATAATTTAATATTTATAAATTGTTCGAATTTTCATTCATGTTCATCTTGTACATTATATTCAAATTTATGTTTATGGAATCGTGATATAGTAAAATGTATTTTTCAACAAGATGATCGATTTATATCAGCAAATAATCAATCTTTTATAATCAATCCTAATCAATGTCCATCTATATATTTACAACAAACTATAAATCGTCTAGTTTATCATATTGATAAAACATTATTTATTCATATTGAACAATGTAATCAATCGACAGAAATAAAATCTTGCCATTTATATGATTATCGAAAACGTTTTTCATTGATTGAAACAAAACCAATGTTAATTCGATCAATTAATGAAAATAATTTATGTTTATTAAAATGTTTATTTCAATGGTCAAATTCGAATAATTTTCATCAAATATCATTTCATCGACCATTAAATCTTCATTTATCAATACAATTTTCAAATAAAACAATATCTATTATACCAAATACTCATATTTCTTTATATCATTGTGAACATATGGCATTAAATTGTACATCATGTTTACAACTTGATCCATCATATGAATGTAGTTGGTGTAATAATATGTGTATGTTTAAAAATCAATCAGAAAAATGTTTAAATAATCAAGAATGTTTATTACCAGTTATTCTAACAATTGAACCATTGGTTTTACCAATGAATGGTGGAACGCTAGTGACAATTAAAGGGAAAAATTTTGATTTATTTGGCTTATCGATTCAAATAGCAGATATACCTTGTCAATTAATTGAAGAAGAAAGCTCGAATAATAAGTACGTAAAAAACGATTAATAAAATCTTATGAAAAAACAATTTTGTTGTGGGTAGAAACGAACATATTAATGTTAACAGAAATGAGAAGTTCAAGTTTATAGACAAATTTTTGATAGGCATTCGTGACGGATGATCGATGAGTTGAATAATTTCTGATCAATATATAAACATTAGAGCCTTACAGGTTATCTCGCACCATATGTCAAGTCAATAGTGGAAATCAGACATAACAAAAAAGTGAAGCTAATATAAAAGTCGATTAACAACAGATGACTGCTATTGGCATTACTGTGTTAATTGAAGTTATTTGTACTAAATTATTTATTTTTGTTATTGAATTTTTTTTTTTTGAATCCTTTGATCTTTACTCTATTCCTTTCCGGAGGGAAGAGACATATACGTATTTTCCGTATTGAATCGGTTCACATCTATCGATGCGTACTCTCTATTATTGATAAATGCTTTGGTAAGAGCGACATACATAGACGCCTTATCGTTCTTTCAGAGATGAATATTGCTGATTAAAAATGAACATTAATACATGTCAAGCAATTCTGTATTTCATTATTTTGTGTCGCAAAAAAAGAATCTTGTTCTGGAAAGATCATATCAATAGATAGAATTAACCTAATGGATATAAAGATAAAAGTAAACATGATGTCTATTGTAAGACTATTACATGTATATAGGCGAAGGTGAAAGTGTTAGTCTTATCTTCATTTCCATCCATACCTATCGTTAGATTATTCTAATTTACAATGTGTTCAGTTTTATCTTGAATACATAGGCGGTGCAACGTTTTGATTCTTAAGATACGTTAGACATCTTTTATAAGATTCACGTCTGACAGTGAAACATGAGAGAAAACTTCGTAGAAAAAAACTATGCATTTGAAGTAACATGCAACGTTCGAAACAAGAGTTTTTGATTTGTTTTATTTGAAAAAATTTGATGACGAAGTAGAAATGTTGCACACAAAGAAAACCAAAATGTTGTATTGGGAATTTGTTCACTGTTGAAAATATTTGTTACACCTGTAGCATTAGTCACTGAAGATGAAGGAAATTTTTAACAGATTCTAGTTAATCTGTTTGGCACTTTTCTTACATTTCTTTTTCACTTGTAATCGAGTATCAATTGATTGAAAGAAGAAAAACGTGTTTGAGTCTATTGAAGCTTTGTAGCTCTATCGCCTATGCTTGAATAGGTATAAGAAACTACTGTAGTCATTATTTAATTTTAACATTATCTATTCTATTTAGAATCGTATGTCAATCAGGTAATGCTGGATTAACGTTTCATACTGGCGTTGTTGGTTTAGCATTTGGTCTTCATGGTCCACGAATTTCTTCTCATCAAATAATTTCTTATTTAAATCCAAAAATAAATTCAATCGAACCACTTATCGGTATTCAAAGTGGTGGTACAGTTTTAACAATTTATGGTGAAAATTTTACTATAGGTAACAGTCATATATCAGTCTTTATTGGAAATCGTTCATGTCAAGTATTATCAATATCTCAAATAAAAATTGAATGTGAAACAAAATCATTTCCTCGTTCAATGCTACATGAAAATCAAACAATAAAAATACTTTTTGATCGACAAACAAAATTAACATACAAGAATCTTTTTACCATTGTTCCAAATCCAATTCTATATTCATTTAATAAAAATGATCAATATAAAAGTTTTACAAGTGGTGGTCATAAAATAATTATTTTTGGTGAAAATTTTAATACAATACAAGATATTCAATTAGAATTTAAACATCTACTATTTGTTTCACCTTTATTTCGTAATAATACACATTTAATATTCTTAACACCATCGATTGAAGAACTTCATTCAAATTATCAACAACAAATTGAAATAAAAATTTATTTAGATAATTTTAATAAAACATCATCATTAATTTATATAAATGATCCAATTATTCATGAACTTGAACCTATGTTACAAACATATACAAATGAATTAATGATTCAAGGCACAAATTTAACTGCTATTGGGCATACAAAAAATCAAATTATTGTACATATTGGTTGTGATTTATGTACTATTATTCATCTTCAAGCTGATAAAATTATTTGTCAACCACCTCAGTATCGTCCAGCAAAATATTCGAAAACAAAACGTCTTTGCTATACATCAGAACATCCATCAATTATCGTCTCTATTGATAATATACATAGACATATTGGATTTATGATTTATCCAAAAAAGCTTATTATTTTCGGTAAAGAATATTTTGTTACTCTAAATAAATAGGAACAATTTACTTTCATTCTGTTGACACTCATGGATATATTAAGATGATCCCCATCAGATAAAAATGTGAAAAATGATGTAACTGTTGTTGTTAATCACGGGAAGGTTGTTTTATTCTCTCTGTTTTGGGACATATTTCTTCATCATCCTTTGGCTCAGTCCTACGGAAATGCGATAAGATAGTACTTCATATATTAGAACGAGGCGTTATTGATATACAGTCGTTCATTGTATATCAACGTCTGTTACATCTTGCGATGGTTTTTGACTAGTATCTGTCACGGTCAGGAGGGAAACATCCGAATATTTACCTCTATACCTTAACGCTCGTTTAAAATCATGTTTCACAAAAAAAAATGTATCACGGAGGGATTCAGTAAACCACGATTTTTCAGTTAGTTTATCATTTATGGCTAGATCTCATTAAGAAAAATTGAGATTTAAAATGTCCTCTTTATCAGAATGAGCTTAGATTATCATTTTCTAACACACGAGATCCTTTTAGGTAACATTGTTAGAAAATTTCATTGCGCACTATGTATGGAATAGGTTCAAATTTTTTAGGTTTCCACTGTTCATCACAATGAGGAAAGAAAAGACGTTTTAGATAGATATGAGCAAGATGGTTCCAATCATGACGAAGTCGGAACTGAAAACGATTAATCCGGCTCATGTCTATTCTTGAATCTTAGTTTGGATAGACTATAAGAAACAGATATTTTTAGCTTATCCCCAGATTATTTTATCATACACTTATAGATATACATCAACAAATCCTTTACTTCTTTTATGATGTAAAGGTTAAGAATAACAAATTTCAATTTCGGATTTAGTTGCCATCATTTTGTCGATATTGAGTATTGCCAATTAAGATTTTCCCTCCTGAAAAATCGAGTTTTCTAGAAAAAAGACACTTTTCAGAGAAACGTATAGGCATGACGCCAAAGGTTTTTAGATTGAAAATTCATAAAAACGGCTTCTAATTTTAAAAAAATTGTTGTTCTAGTTATGTTCTTTTATTATAACTCGATATGTAGCTAAAAGGCCGCTCGTTAAGACTCTAGATGAACTTTTAACTATATTTGATGCTCATGTCAGAAAATTCTTGAGATAAATATACAAAAAATTCTGGAAAATTAATTTTTCAATAAATTGTCGTATTCCGAATAAATTTCTTTCACATAGTGCTCTTCTTAATGAACTACGGGTTTTTTGTTCGATAGATAAATGCATTCTCTTTCGGATGAGGAATTTTGGTTTTTGTATTCGACCCTCAATATCAAAACAATGATGGATTTTCTAGGCAACATGATCTGAGTTAAAATTTTTAGGGTACCAAAAATGAAAGAAAATTAAAATTAAAAATTCCTTTGCTTCATCCAAAATGGTAAGGAGCCACTCCTTGAAATGAGAGTAGCCTGTGCACTATAACTTGAAGTGTATTGAAAAAACATTTGTACGCATAAAAGCCTTATTTCGCACTATGGCTTCTCGACGGTAAGATGTGGAGTTTTGAAAACTTTTTTGATATTGTACTTCCATGAGTCGAATATATTCTAAAGGCTTCATGAAAATCCATGCACTGTAATGAAAATCAATTTTGAAGGGGATATGAAGGCTTTAAATTATATATTGTTGTATACGCGCAGACTCCGTTCAGATAACTTTAGCAGAAACAATAATAGATCAAAAGAAGCTTATTCCTGTTTTTTGTCATATTGAATTCTTTTTGTTTAGGTGTTATCAGTGGATGTTTATTCACAATAGTATTTATTGTTTTGATCATTCTTCTAATCGTCTCTTTAAAAACTCGTTGTGTTCAACGAAAATATTCTCAACAATACTTTTATACAAATAGTATAATACCTCATGAGCTTCAAAAAGATAAACCCTATCAAACAATAAATTCATCGCCAACAATACGTCCTATTCGTTCGTACTTAAATTATTTACAATTTTGTTATTATTATAATCATTTAACATCTAATAAAACAAAATTTAATTTAAAACAAGATATAATTGATCAATTTAAATTTTTTATTGAAAATAATGAACAATTCATTGATTATCTTTTTAAACTTTCAATTCAATTAAATAATAAAACAATTCTTAATAATCTTATTTTAATACAAAGATATAATTTAAAAAGATTATTTAAATTTAATCATCCTTTTATTTATTTTAATATATGTATATTAACATCATATGATACATTTTTAATAAATCAAATTGATTTATTATTATCTAATCTTTATTCTCAATTAAAATTTAAAATTCATAGTGGACCTATCGATGCTATTGAACAAACAATATCCTATTATTCATTAAATATTGATACAATTTTACATGAACATTCGATACGATTTAAAACAATACAATTAATTGTTCATATTGATTTAAATGATAATAATTCAAATGACTTATTATTTAATATTGCATGTTTAACATGTGATACTATATCTCAAGTTAAACAAAAAATTCTTCATCAATTTAATTCATTACATCGAATCTCAATAAATGAATGTAAACTGTATTTATTAACAAAACATTCATGTTCAACTTCATCATCATCATCATCGTCGTCGTCAACAGCATCATCAAGTGTGCCATTAACAAGAAAATCAATGTTAACAAAAGTGTTTTATAATCGTACAATAAACTATTCAACAGCAATAATTAATGATTCATATCGTGATTCACATATTTTATTATTAAATGATATTGATAATACAAATGAACAAGTCCATAATGGAAAAAAATTAAATACTTTACAGCATTATGGAATTATTACAGATGGTTATGAAGTTAAATTAGTTTTTTCAAAGAAGCAAATTAATGATGTGAATAATAGTTTAAATTTGAGTATGTAATCGAAATTAATTATTTGCTTTCTTCTTAAACTTATTCGTTAATACAGGATGTTTCAAAAGTTCATACGAAAGAAAAAATTGTAAATCCATTCCCTTCAGTATTAAACTGCGAAACATCATGTAGCTGATATTGCTAATCATAGAAACATTCTTTTATTCTCTCTACTTTGAGACATATTTCTTCAGCCAGAGCTGGGCAAGTACGCACTTTCTCGAGTACAAGTACGAGTACTAACCTTCCGAATACACTATAGAAAAAAAGGACCGTTAGTACAATTCCTGTCAAAGTTAAATGTGAAATACAATGTAGCTACTCTTTTTATTTGAAAAGCTTTCGTTTTCATCCATCTGTTTTATGGCACATAAGTCATGCTTCTACTTAGTTCTCCAGAAGTGGAATAAAAAAGTAGATCATAGAATATGATAATGTGTTCTTGATGTACGGTTTTCGGTTGTGTATCGAGAACATCTCACACAAGTGACGACAGGGTCTCAGTTTATTTGCGACGTTCATCAAGGAATACGTTACTAATGAAATATTAATCAGGTATTAATTGAATATCAATTAATTAATTATTCATTTAGTTAATAAAATTTTCTTTCACAATATGTGGAGGAGGAGGAGGGAAGGGTCTAGCGGCTATGTCATTCATCGGGCCGGTCTAAGTTTTTAACGACCGATACCGACCTGAAAATTTCAGGCCGAAGCAAACGGGCAAGACTAAGAGTAATAAAATGGTCTACAGTTATTTACGAGTCTATTGATAATTGTTGGTATACCAATAATAGATTAATTGTCACAATGAAATTTATTTTCCTAGTTAACTCTCGCAAATCATCAATTTAGATCAGAAATCTGAAATATCTGAACATTTGTGTAGTACTATTCAATAAGTGGTTTTCTTTAAAAAATAATAATAGTGATTGGAATATTAATGCCTTATATTTAATTTCATCACATGGTTACTATGCATTTATTGTTTTCAATACTTTAGCCGAAAATATGCATATAATGTTGATAAAGCAAAAATAATAATACATTCATCCTGAGATTGTTGCTTTTTTAAAAGATAATCACATATTGAATATTACCACATAAATGCTCAGGTATTTTAAATTCATGGTCTAGGTTGGTAACTTGCGAGAGTTAACTAAGGAAACAAAATTTCATTGTAAAAATCGATCTGCTTTCTCTAGAGTAGCTTCTATCGCTACATCGGTCTATTAGCGGTAGGCAGACTAGTGTCTGTTCCACCTATGAAGTGTATTCAAATTTCTACTCTGTATACTTTCAACACTAGCTTCCGATCGTTTTTTGCAAAACAGCATGGAATTATAAACCTTTGTTCTGTGCACAACTTTTCATAAATCTTGATCAGGATTTACAATTACAGCGTATTATATAGACCCTATTTACTTTATGTGAAGATTGTTATATTATACTCTTTCATAATTCCTTTGAAAAAGTTTATTAAAGTATTAGCAATAGAAACTACAAAAACAAGTAGAAAGTTTTTCAAGACGACCGATTTTATTCATTATAAAACGAAGAACGAAGAAAGGACCGATGGATTATTCAAATACCAACCGTATATATGGTATTACTTATGAAGAATAAGTGAATCAACAAAAAGGATAATGAAAATAGCACATAATTACTATTCAACGACTTTTCATCGAATAAATGATCACATGCATATTCACATTGATTGAAAAGACACCATCAATACTTCGCTTTGTTTTCGAACAACATAAATCAAAAGAAATTTTTCATAATTAATACTAAGCACCTGAACTGTAAAATATAAATGCATTGAGTACGTGTACCAGTACCAATATCCTCGAGTATGAGTATTTCGAGTATTTTGTCCAGCTCTGTCTTTACCATCGTTTTACTTCATCCTTCGCAAATACAATAAGGAAGTAGTTCATATGTTATAACGAGATATTATTCATGCATGGTACACCGACAATAGAGTCTAACACAGATGAATCCCAACATTGAAGCTTTCACAGTTCGTCTCTTGGTGGTGGGCCGTTTGATTGGTCTAATCACCGTGTGATAGAGAAAGGCCATTGAACAGCATATTAGGCATTGATTTTTTTTCTTTGACCACGTTATTGAGTGGAAAAAAGTAACATATATTCCATGTTATTGGAGTAATCAAGAAAAAACGAAGGTGAGAACCGATAAGAATTAATGTGAACAGAACACATGTGTTTTGGACACATCTTGGCCAATAAATATTTACTTTGGTTTGAACCATTTTATAATCTCTGAAGACATTTAATTCATAATCAATACTATTTCAATTTCTTGTTAGTTAAAATTGATAGCGAAGGTTAACTTTGTTCTTGATTGTCCATCAGCTGTCTAATAGTGGCTTCATGGTGAATTGTGTATCCTTGTATGTATAACTCGCTGAGTTACCTTGAAACTTTCGAAACATATCTAGTTCATTAATGGAGTTTTTCATCTATTTACATCACACGAAAATTTCGAAAGATCTCTATTGACTATAGATAGAGATCAAATTGTTTCGAAAACTGAAATTTTTTCTTTTTTCAAAATTATCGATTTTGTAGCTATTTTAGTTGGATAGAAAGTAGTTCTCTGTATTCCTTTCATTTTACTTTGTTGTATACTATCTCGAATTAATATTGGATAAATTCTTTTTGAAAATCTTTATTTCGTGAAACTTTTTAGGAAATACTCTTCGACCTTCTTGTCATTACTGTTCATTATCAACATCCAATGATAAAATAATTTTTAATTATCTAACATCACTTTCATTATCTAATGTAGATGCATGTTTCTTATATGATCGAACACATTATATTCATTTATTAAATCATACCTATGAAGAAATAGATGGTGAATTAGGTAATTTATTAATGAATAATAATTGTAATGAAACATATCGTTTATTTGAAACGAAATCAATGATAAATTCATTGTTAATTAAATTCATTGAAATTTTATTTACAAATCTTTTTAATAATGATACATTTTTGAGTGAATTGATGGAACAATATTCCCAAATTTTCCATCAATATTATGCTCATTTTATTCCATTTATTTTGCAAAATTTAGATTGTTTATATGATATATCAATTGATAAATGTTTAAATAGTTCATTGAATATTGTTGCAATGATTTTTCAAATAGCTTGTTGTCAACAGTATGAACAAGAATGTTCATTGTGCATTGAATTTTTAAATAATAAGAATTCTAATGCTAACATACAAAATTGTACATTATTATTTGCTGATGAAATACAGCGTGTTCGATTATATTATTCAAATTTAGAACAATGTTTAAATAATAAAAATTTATCATCGGAATATTCATCAACAGATACAGTAAGAGATAGCCATAAAAAAAGAATATTATGTTTTAAAATCTTGTGTTTTTTTTCTTAGGGTATTGATAAAAAATTTGAATTAGATAATTCGATTTATCATAATCTCTTTGAATATTCATGTTTACATGCTGATGAGGTTTGTTTGATTTTATTTTCATTATGTTAATGTTTCTTTTTTATTTCATTTAGATTATTGAACATTTGAAAAATCAATTGTCCGATACTCATACGCTATCAATATTTCTTAATTTCGTAAAAATATATCGATCAATTGAATTGACTTGATCTTTTGTACATTGAAATATCTACTTTTTTGTTTTAATACGTAAATTACTTTTAACTAATTTGAAATAAAACTTCGCTTTTTCAAAACAAAATAAATAAAAAAGAAAACTTATCTGATAATATCAAATTGATGCAAACTGATGAGCTGATATTTATATAGTATACGGTTGCTAAAGATGTTTTTTTCTAGGACGCATAGCTCTAAAGAAAAACGAACTAAGAATGAATTTTATATCGAATAAGAATTCGTTTAATATAAGATTGATGGTATATAATCCATAAATGGAATATTGACTAAAGAGTTATGAAATTCGAGGAATATAATTATTATCATCTAATCGTATTGAGTAATAAGATTGAAGAGAATGTATCTCATCTTATAATGGCATAGACATTTGCAGATAGCTGAGAGACACTATTAAAATTCGTACACAAGTTATTTTTCTCTCAGTTTTTGTGAAACAGACATCATGTTACACAGTAAAATTCTGCTGACTATGATGATTGAGTGTAACTGTTGTCTTTCTGTTGTTCACTCTTATGATGAATTTGTTGTTATACAGCTTTGCTAGAAATTTTACAGAGAATTACAAAAGAGTAAGAAGTAATCTCCGTTCTAGTGTTCTACATGTATACGAATTTCCGTAACCAAACTCAGATCGGATCTAATCAACATCTGACAGATATTTTCACAGTCACAGTACGGTTTTAAAACTTTTATTTTATATGAAAAAGTATACTGTTTAGTTTATTTTGAAAAATGGCAACATAGAAAAGAGATCGTCTCATATTTCATTACAAAAGCAAGTGAATCAAGTGATTTAGAATTTACTTGATATCGTTCTACTTCTAAAACCAGATCAACTTCGCTAAGTAAATGTTTGCCTGTTCTTGATGACGCTGAAATGAAACGCAGTATTGGTGTCAAATGTCATAACTACGGATTCATACATGAATGCTTTTTCATTACGATAATGCTTGTTCACCTTTTTGATAATATATTTTTCTATCCATGTATTCAGTTACTTCGTTATATGGTTCATCATCATCTGTCAATGATTTTTTCAGTAAAAACGCATTGTCTTAGGAAAACAATATCGCTTTTCATTTTTTGTGACATATTCTCAGGTACGATAAATTATTCAATCACGACCCAACCGGTATTTACTACTATGATTTTATATACGTAGCAGTTTCAAAATTTTTAAAATACTGAAAAATCGAGATTTCATTCATCTCGAGTCGGATCTGGTCACTCGATCGGGTTACAAGATACGACTCTGTACAAAATCTAATAGAACTTTTCAATTATATGCAAGTGTCTATATCATTATACAATGAGAATCCTTCTCTTCGAACTTATCATCCATTGTGGATAGTCATAACAATTAAGTTTCTTGAATGTCGAGAAACTTCACGAGTCGATGATCATTCTATGGATTCTAGACCATATCTCATCAATTCTATGTTAAACGAATTTTTACCTAACATAAAACATGTTTATTTCATTTTTCGTTTGAGTCGTACCTCTTCACACAACGAGATAATATTAGATTTTTACTCGATGACGACATGCGATGTGAACGACAAATCCTCGATTTTTAAAAAAAACATATCTCATAACAACGAATAATGGATTTTAGGTTTCGTCCGCAATCCCTTTTTTCGTAATGATGTTCATGTTGCCACCGACTAGTCGATTGAAGGAGAAAAGTAATTCAATGGCAAACATGGAAAAAATCATCACTACAAAAACTTTATGAACGCGCATCAACATATTTTTAACGAACGATATCGATTAATAATTTAATTCTTGACATGACTCATTAATTATTTATTGTCAGCCGTATTCACAGTTGTATTAGTTATAAGCATCGACACTGACGGTTAACTTTGTCTGCTGTCTTCATTTTAATCACTTCAAAAAAGTTGAAAACCAACAAAGTCCATGAAGATAAAGGGGTTGTTATAAGCAAAATTGTCTGTATTTCTTCATAAAATTCAATTTTATCATACCTGTTTTGTCATTTTGATTGTTAGGCATATTTGAATAATAAAACCATAGTTTTCAATGCATTCTGTATTGTATAGTACGTGACTAAGTAAAGCAAGATTTATTCACGCTTTATGTGGTCACAAGATTATGTTAGAGTATATTCATGAAAAATAATTTATTCATTTGCTTATGTATTTTGTTGATCTTTATATTGGACTCAGCTGTTTCAATTTTCTATCCAATGTTGTATGCACATACAAGAGAAAAGATTATCTCTTGCCTTTCCTTGTATAGCGATATGATTCATGTTGTATAACACTAATGTACTCCCATGACGAATATCACCTAGTCCTGCTCTCCAATGCTAGCGGTCCATTTCTAATTTCATATCAATCTATAGATCTGGATGAGATCTACCAAATACTGTTAAGAAGCGTAGAGAAAGCAAGTGAGATGGTGTGCCTCTTTTTTGAAATACTCAAACCAGCTCTATGTTGAGTATCGCTATGTATATGTTGAAATGATAGAATAAGAGCTTTCGTTGAATTAAATGCATAGATCCACTCTGTATTCTATATCAAAGGTGGGTGTGAGTATGAATGGATATGCGTGTTCATAAAGTTTTTGTAGTGATGATTTTTTCCATGTTTGCCATTGAATTACTTTTCTCCTTCAATCGACTAGTCGGTGGCAACATGAACATCATTACGAAAAAAGGGATTGCGGACGAAACCTAAAATCCATTATTCGTTGTTATGAGATATGTTTTTTTTAANAAGTAACACATTAACTGTTAGTATTGTTTACTGAAGCACGCGCGAAAAACATACGGATTTAGTTGAAGTTTTAGCTTAACATCAATGATATGATGTCTGTTCTGTTATCGAACTACTATAGTTGAAAGAAAGTCCCACAAAAAGTGATCACCGTACTAGATAGGTAATTTGAGCGTAGCTATATACATAACAACAGTCGAATCAGTACAAATGCGAACACATGCTAACAGGAGACCTTGTTTATTCCATTCAATTCTGATCCCAATAAGATGAATATATAAATTGTTCAAATAATATTTTCTGTCAAATGTGTTAGCGTCAGTGAATATACACTAACGCTAAGTTAGTATATGATTATGGCATGACGTCATTTGTTGAGTGACCACTTGTATGATCAGCGCGTGATCGATGTGTGTACAGTGTACACTATATATACATGTTGTTCCACTCACACACTTATTCTTTTCTATTCTCGTCATCCTGTTCATCCTTTGTTTTCATTATTCGTTCTGGCCGTACTTCTTGTTGCGTGTTGTTGTACTGTTATTGTTTGCATCACAATACACGTGTTTATTATATACCTATATATATTCATCCATTCGGCTGCATATTCATTCATGTGTGTATGCTAATATATATATGCATCGTATAGCTTAGCTCTATAGTGTCATACCCATACAAAGAGCTAACAAAATGTACTATACGTATATTGCGCACATGCAGAAAAAGCGTTCTTACAGTTTATTTCAAAATGTTTTTCAGTTCTTAGCAACTACTACTCCTTATTGAAACCCAATTGATCAAGAGTGTTGATGTTTATTGGATGAGTCTCAACAATCTGAAGCCTTTCTTCGAGGAAGTTTCTAATGCAGTGGCTAATCGTTCACCGTCGTCACTGACGGCTAGCGGCTACTACTTTCCATTCTATTTCTTTGCAACATAATTATTCTTTCTTGGGGCAAAGCTCAATGCTGCCAAGCGGGTCCACAGGTTGCGGATAGTGGAACGGCCATTAGTATAATGGTTAGCTGCGAATAAGACCAAGTAATTGTTCAAATAAGTAGTCCCGGACAATGGAGCCCTCTTGCCAACAGGGTGTGGTGGGGTTTTGACTGGCACCAAAATCCTTATAAAATGCCACAGAAACCCAAAGACGACAGGATGACAGGGCGAGTGTAGGCCGCCAGAAGCAAGGTTCCTCCCGAACTGAGCTTTCAAAAGCCTTAGCCAGGATAGATGGAGCTCTGTGACCTTAAATGGTAGTCCATCTAAGAGAAGGAAAACTCTGATTCCAAACCAAGGGCAGATGAGGCTCTTAGCCATGTCAGGCAACTCATCTAAGAGAGAAAACTCAGGTGACAACCACTCACCAACCCGCCTAGCCAGCGTGGTGATTTATTGGCTATACAACCTCCCATGGAAACACGAACACAGAACACTCATACCGGCTCGGTCGTAGCCCGGAATAACAAGGACCGCGTTTGTGATTTCGGCTGTGGGTCACAAATGATAAATAGGCTACAGATGCCAACCAATAACCATCAAAACCATCAATCAAGTAAAAACAACAAACGAAAGGGCAAAACTCCAAATTTAGTAAATATACACATATGCATATATAACATAAGAACATTCAGAGAAGAAGAAAAAAGGAAAGAATTCGAAGAAGAGATTTCAAAAATAAAATGGGATATAATAGGCCTAAGTGAAACCAAATGTAAAGACGAGCATCTAATAAAACTAAAAAGTGGTCATACGCTCTAGAGATGCGGAAACGCCAATAAAAATAAAAATGGTGTAGGATTTTTAATAAATAAAAGGATTTCAAACCTAATAATAAGCGCAAACGGTATAAATGAGAGAATAGCTAAACTAATTCTGAAAATAAATCAAAGATATAAAATGAAAATAATGCAAGTCTATGCACCAACAACAAGTCACGAAGACGACGAAGTCATTGGAATCTACCAAGAAATCGAAAAACTATTAAAAGAAGACAAAACCTATTTTACCATTATAATGGGCGATTTCAATGCAAAAGTCGGAATAAAAGAAAACGACACAGAAATAGCTATGGGAACATTTGGAGTAGGAAATAGAAACGACAGAGGCAAAATGCTAATTGACTTTGCACTAAAAAACAACCTCCAAATAACAAACACCTTCTTCTACAAAAAACCTCATAGAAAATGGACCTGGAAAGGACCAAACAACTCCATAAAAAAACGAAATTGACTTCATTCTAACAAATAAAAGAAACATTTTTAAAAATGTTGAAGTTCTAAATTCAATCAAAACAGGAAGTGATCATAGAATGGTTAGAGGTAAAATAAACATAAATGCTAAGTTTGAAAGAAGAAAATTAATTAAAAAAAAGAAACCACAAATAAACAACGATATACTCACAACTAAGAAAAAAGAATTTGAAATACAAATCGACCAATTGATAAAATCACAAATAAACACCGAAAAAATGAACTTGAATGAAATAAATCAAACTCTAACAAAAATAATTGTTGGTACTGCAGAAAAACTTGCAAAAGAACCACCTACTAATAAAAATACATTCAAATTATCAGAAGAAAGACGAAAAATGATTGAAAAAAGAAGCAAATTAAAGGCAAATACAAATCAGATTGAATTTATAGAATTGAACAAAACTATTAAGAAAAAAATACGACTAGAAAAAAGAAGTCACAATACAAAAATTATTCAAAATACAATTGAAAATTGGTAGGTTATCATTTTCCACAAATCAGGTTCCCTGAATTCATCCCTAAATGAAATCCACATTTATGGATAATTAATCAAGTAACGTTCATACTGGTGACCAAATAGGGATTTTAATTTAGNCATTTATTTATGAAATTTCAACCACTTATCAGAAAAATGTGATTTTTCTACCAGTTGTACTCCATATATATGCTACTGATCTGTTACTATTTGAGTTTATGAATATTGCTAGAAATGAGAGTTCTCAAGGATGCATTGGCGGGCCGGACCATAATTTTCAGGGGGGGCAATAAGCACTTTTTCGCTTAAAAACGCTTGTTTTCATGGCGTTCTTCTTAAGTCCCAGCCAAAAAATTTTTTTTAGGGGGGGCAATTGCCCCCTCTCGCCCCTATGCCGGCCCGCCCATGCATACAAGTAAAGTGAAAAACTCGAAAGAATGAATTATATCCTGTAACAGTTAATTATGACGAGAACAAGGTTTTCCCTTTTAATAGTTTTTTCCAAAATTTTCCCGAGTAATGTAATTTTTCAAAAAATCCCACGCGGGAGCACACGGGAAGGATTCTGCACCTCTGGATCTGGGTCACCGAGAACAACAGGCGTTAGACTATTTTCCGAGAATTCCTTCGCAATGGTAAATGACGCTGAACGGTATTAACAACAAGACAAAGACTGTTTTGGAAAACTGTACAACATTCCAAAGTCGTCATGAATATTTAAATGGATAGAATACTATTATGGTAGTGAGACTTGTTGTAGGTATAATGGATATGTACACCAGGCTTATATGCCAGTTAAATCAATGATTAGAATGATAATAATGTTAAAGTAAGAAAAGCGGAATACAAAAATGATTGAATAGCAACAAGGCAAACAAAAAATGAAAAACGTTTCTGTTCAAAATGAAGAAATAAGTAAGACAGATCGCTTCTCTGGTGATCGATCATCTTGAAAAACAACTTTTACTCTGTGACAGATTTTTCAGTTTACGTATAGATTATAATGATTGAGGAATTCATGTTCTGTATTGATACCTGAAGTTGAACTAGATTGCTCATTTAAAACATATACCAATGTATCTATACGTATATTTCAAAAAGAAATCGATCCAGTTAGAATAAACAAAAGTAGGCCTAAAGAAAGCAATGGTGAAGCCGGTGGACACATGAAGGACCTGTGTTGATGACTCTAACACGCTCATCGATCTTAACAGTAACGCTTGAAGGTGTATTTCTTTATGAGTCAATGATTTTGTTTCTTTATACTAATTTTATCAAATATACATGTTATTTTCTTTTTATGAAGATCTGTAGGAATCTGATACTAAATTCTTTTACACAAGCTTGAAATATTAGAACAATCTCCTGGATAATAAAAAAAAATTATAAACTCTCGATTGACATCAATTTCATCACTAGATAAATCTTTATTTATTTTTAATAGGTGTTTTACGTGATGAAGAAATAGCTGGCCATACAATATATTCATATCTATATGAAACAGGTTATTTTCTTTCGGTACATAATTTACGCTTATATATGAAAGGAACACTTGATATTCTTCGTCGATGGTCATATCCACTTGTACCTGAAATAATAGCATCAATGCACAAACAACAATTATCAATGGGTAAAAATCTAGCATCATCTCAAATAAAATCAAATGATTCATATTTATCATATTATAATATGTGTTATCCAATAATTTATGATAAGCATAATATATATAAACAGGGCGACGTACAATTAGATCGTTTATCAAATATTCAACAAGATGTTTTTATTGGTTATAAAAGTCAAATTTTATCTGGTGTATGTATACGTTCATCACTTATTGGACAAAATTGTATTATTGGTAAAAATACAAAAATTGAAAATTCAATTATATGGAATCATGTACAAATAGGTGAAAATTGTATTATTAAAAATTCTGTCATATGTGATAATGTACTTATTCGTAATAATGTACAAATTGATAAAGAATGTATACTTTGTCAAAATGTTATTATTGGTACAAATGTTCATTTAAATGAACATCTGACTATAATTGCATCGAACTCTATAACATCAATAGCTGTAATAGATGAAATTGAAATTGATAATGACACTACAATACCATCAAAAAATGTTAAACGTTCAAATTCTAAACCAAGATCTAGTTCAACAAGATTATCAGAAAAATCTTTTTCAGAAAAATCAATTAGTTCAAGTATTGAAGAACCTGTAACAACAAATAGTGATTTAGTTGGTAGTGATGGTTTAGGTAGACAACTTAGTTTTAGTTCTACACATGATGATCAAACAAAAACTATGGATCTCACAGATGATGATGATGATGATGATGATGACGATGATGATGATAAAGATAAGAATCAATTAAATGAATTCGATGCATGGGGTCATCGTATAGAAAATAAAGATTTATCACATGATGATGTTGATAATGAAATTCAAACAAAATCATATCGTTCATCGAATTTAAATAAATCTTCTAATCAACCATCAGATATTCTATCGGAACATGAAACATCAGAAAGTGATGATAATGAAGATTCATCATCAGAAACTAGTTCAATAAATGAAACCAATGATGTTAGTGAATTTCAACAAGAAGTTATTCGTACATTAGAACGTGCTTATACACAAAAACTTCATATAGAAAATATTATTGTTGAATTAAATATGTTAAAGCCAACCTATGATGTATCACCAACCGAATTTGATCAATCAATAGTACGTGCTGTATTTTTATTACCATTTGAAAAGAAAATATCGAATTCAGAAAAAACAAATTATTGGAATACATTAAAATTAACTATGGATCAAATAACACAATTTATATTAAAAAATTATATGAAAATAACAAATAAACAATCACAAAAAGCATTACTAAATGAGCTAGATTTAATTTGTTTAAAACATATTCATCCAATTGGTGAACGTATTGCTAGTATACTAAATTATTTATACGAAAACGATATTATTGATGAACAATGGATTCTTCAATGGTATGAAGAGAAACAAGAAAAAATTGAAAATAATCAATTAATAATAAAACCAGAAGAAAAAATTTACTATGATAAACTTAAACAACTTGTTGATTGGTTACAAAATACTGAAAGTGAAGACGATGATGAAGACGACGAAGATTAGATACATAAATATTTTAAGTTTATTGATAGTTTTTTCTTTGCAAAAAAAAGAAATAAACAAGGTTTTAAATATTTGGTGTCAACTTGAAAATTTTTATCACTACTATCTGTTTCAAAATATTATGTGCTTCACTCTGTTTTATAATAGTTTTTGATCGGAACATCGTACAGATCTGAAGTTTTCACAATCCACGAGAGAAGACTACGAGCTATCGAAATATGTCGAAAACTAATTGGCTAGCAATTGACCAGTCAGATGTGTTCTTGGTAGACACTTTCGAAAACGATACTCGATCTTCTATTTTGGTCTACATAAGACCGAAATTCCTAGCTTGTTCCGTTCGAGAGTTATAAAACTTTTCCTGAGACTCCGATAACAGGCTATTGTTCAGCGATTATCCACAAAAGCAGCTACTGCAGAGCTAATTCATCGTGTTGAGTTGAACGGCGATATTTGTTTTAGGTTTCTAAATAAACTAACTCTGCTATCTCAATATTTCCAAATGTTAACTCCATCGTTACACAGAGACTGACTGTAAAATTTCAGATATACTGCAATAGCAGAGTCAACTTATTTCAAACCTAAAAGCAAATATTACCATTCAATTCAGTATGATGAATAACCCCTGCCTAGCTGCTTTTTTGAGTAATTACAGGGCAATTGGTTGAAACCGAATATCTCAGAAAAGTCTTATAACTCTTGGATAGTACAAGCTAGGAATATTATCTTTGTATAGATCGAAAAAAGATGAACTTTTTCTATCGATTAATTCTATTAAAATTCGAAATCGAAAAGATAATAGCCTGAGAATATCGTTTTTGAAAATTTCCATCGAGAACTCATCTCATCGTTAAATTGCAAACCAATCAATTTTCACTATATTTCGATGACTCCGGGTTTTCTCTCCTGAATGATGAAAATGGAACGTTTCTATAATATTCCTATTAAAATTTATTCAAAAAAAAGAATACAATGAAGTACATTATATTTTGAAGTGAATTATAGAAACATATTCTTTTCCTTTTTCTATTAAAATAATTTCTTCCTTCCATTGAGTTATATTCTTTAACTCCATTGAATACCTTTAAATTGCTTGTATCTTGGAAAATGAAAACAATACTCATTTTCTAGTGTGACGAATATGATCAATCAAAACGATATGTGACAAATTAACTAATAAAATATTTAATAAAATGAATATAGTTTAAGAATCTTCCCAGTATAAATAAGATTTTCTTTTTATTTCAAATGTCTTAATAGCAACAAACTTCTTGAATATATAATCACGACTTAATAATAGATTTAGCTTAATATTTGGACAGAAGTATCGTCTACTCTTTGTTAGTATCATGATACTTTCGTGCATCTGTAATTGTATAGCATCCTACAAATAGATTGTCTATTATTTAGTACAATAATGATAAAATATTTTTTTTCCTCACGAGTATCGTTGGATTCAATTAAATGAAGTTGAAATTTAAATAAAATCTTGATAATTTCCTCTTCTTCACCCTATTAGGCATAAAAGCATTATTGACTCAATCTGAATTTATATATATATAGAAATTTACCTGCATATGTTGAAGTAAGTCTTTGGCACGTTGATGTTCTCCTGCACGTCGCAGTGCATCAGCTTCGATGCATCGATCGAGACCAAGTTGTTTACTAAATTCGACATTAGCTGAACGAGATTCGTCGATCAATTTAGCAGCACGCAGGCGGTTACGCACTGCTCCTTGTTCATTATTGGAATCGTCACAAGCCCAAGCAGCACGAAGTGCTTGCCATGCTGCTTCTACCAAACTTTTCTCATGTTCTACAGAGTGAAAATAAATATAACAATAGTATGATAAGATAACATAATACTGTTTCAATTTATTTAGAGTTCTCTATTCAATTTCAATAGGTCAAAAGACGATACAACTACGTGCAAAAGCTTACCAAGTAAAATTGAGTAGCAAAGAAATTGATTCGCTAATGGTGGATAATCATTTGAAGACAGTTGCGTTTGATAATTGGATGACTCAATAATTTCCTTACGGGATACCTAAAGTATACATAATAGAAGTGATTGAGTGTATCTGATATTGTTTTTTACTCCTTTCTGGTCACTTATGTTGTGGCTACAATAGCCACAATGCGAGCAGTATTCAATCCAAGCAAACATTGTATCACGTTTCATGGGTGGTGGTCTGTTCACATTAAGAAAATTCATATACGAGGTTTCATTCTGTTTAGAACAATAAAAAAAATGGTCTCACCTCAAATCAAGATCAGGTTGTCCAAATGTTGTATAAGACATTATTTCTTTTTGAGACGATGATTTTCCACAACAAGAGCAAGTTTTGTCTTCATCAGAAAACGTGACCATGGTGTTAGATGGTTTTGTGTTGATATTTAGCAACCACTTTCAACAGTTATTAACAGGAAATGAAAAAGAAATGCGTTTTTATGTTACCTTTCATAGTTGATACGTGTCAAGAAATATGACTCATATTCATGTGAGAGAATAAGAACAGAGTGAAAGCAAAAATAATATCTAGAGCAAATTACTCAATCATTTAGAAATAACAATTCATCAGTATTTTTTCTAGAGGTTTGAATTGATTTTTTATAGCAACAGAAAAATGAATTAGTAGTTAAGTTATTAATTTTCCATGAACTCTATATCATACCAACTTCTTTGACTTCTACGTCATCACGTTTGAATTAACAATTAGTCACTCTTTTGCTATTTCGACATAACTTCATAAGCGTGTTAGTAAGACCTGCTGAGATCATCAGCGCGATGAGTGTGCACGTGAAGGATATTCCTTTCGAACTTTACTTTTGCTAAAATATAATGAAATACAAAAAAGAACTATTGAACAGAAAAAATTAACTTAACGGCCACGGATGATTTAACCTAAAAATTTTTCTCTCAGCAAAATCTGACATTTAACAATTTTACAATCAGAAATAAAATCAAAGTATGATCAATAATATTACTTTCACATTTTGATTCTTTGGTTAGCTTTATGATTTTATAGTATTTGCATTGATATAGTGTTTCTATTCATTCTACTACTCAACAAAAACTATCGCAGACTATTATCAGTGCCCATGAATCTTTGAACATAATTAACAATCTTTACGAATTTTGAGAGCTCAGAGAATGTCATTCGATGAATTATATACACGAATTTCATGGAATTTTCATGAGTAGAACAATGATTTTTATAGATATTTCTTTTATTATTTAATGTATGCCACATATGTAGATTTCACACAGATAGATGTATATTTCTTATATAACTCATGTTATGCTTCAATTGTTGTAATAGTATCTCTAATCTCGGTCCCAAATTAGGAGGAGAGGGAGGAGCTTCCTCATCTTCTCAAAATGTCAGACTTTCTGCGGAATTTTTAAAGTTCAGTTCAGCAGAAAAACCTTGCATTTACTGGAATAAAATTAAACCAAAGATACTTTCCGTGAAGTTTCTCGTAGAACGTCGATTTTATCTCTGCTGTTATGTGTTGTCATCCTTTCTTAAGTGACATATACTCATGTATGCATCTGAAGCAGTGATTAAGACTAATTATTAAAAGATTTGTACTTTTTCGCTTCGAAATAATATTATATTGAAAAAAATTTATATCGAATAAGTAATGATTACTAGTCTTTGTCGCTAACGAAGAACTTCTCAGTTTTAGTAGGCTTAAACTTTTTTTTACAAAAAAGTCAATTTTCGGGTAAAAAATTGTAGACTTTCTGTCAAATTGTTTTAGTCTTCCCTCACTCCCAAAAACAATCATGAGCCCTATCTCTAATTATCGATTACAACCATGTGAAATCAACTTCATCGATTTGGAATTGTTTTGCTTATCTCAAGATGTTTTTAACTGAAATGAAGTATTAATACTCGCCTGATTGCTTCTAAATTTACAATCTACTCACATTAGCATATCCGTAAATACTGTCTGATTAAATGATGGTTTCCATTACTTTCGATTTATGTGTTGAGTTGCAAACATACGACAAAATAGAAAGAAGATTGAGTCTCGTCTTTTGTCGAATGAATCAAGTCCTCAATGAGAAGGTCTTCTATCATGAGGAGTGAACCATTCCAATATCTGACAAGAAGTCCGTTCTTTTTAAAGTTGATAATCTAATCATTTGAACCGCACGTCTAAAAGTTCAGCGCTTCAAAAAAAGTCGATGGCTCAATACTTTTTTCGAACGAGACAACCTTAAAAATCGAAGATTAAAAGTTCCAGGAAGAACACTTAGAATGCTTCAAAATATTTATTCGACAATCGACCTCTAAGGCACTCTCTCTTTTGACAAGAAAAACCGATAGGAGTTGGCACAGTAAGAAGTATTCATATTTCATTAAAATACAGACTGTCATAGAGAATATTAGGAAGTATCGACTAGCAATAAGCTCAGTTTGTAGAAATATGGCAAAGAAAATTTTTAAAGTGTGAATAAAAACATTTCCTGGAGGAACAATCTATCGATAAAGTGACATTCACTGCAATTGTCACGCTATTCTGCCCGAGATAGGAAGTAAGAAACCAAACTTTTCGATATAAATTATAGTCTCTTATATTCTCGAAAGAATTTTCGTTTTAATTTTTGTGCTTTTTATCAAATCTGCTTTTAATATTAGGTAAAGAAAAGTAGAGAAATTCCACCTCACATTACTACATCGATGATAATTACCAAGGAACTTTTCGAGATCTTACTTTTAAGTGTCAGCCACGAATTAGAACATGTAGAAATCCACTCACGTGTATTGTCGTTGTCATTACTTGAATGTTCATCTAGGAAATGAAACTCTGATTTGTCGTCACTGCTCGCTGCATCCTTCGATCTATTGTGCGTTGGGATGAGATGAAGAAAGTTGATTCGAGGACAAAACCAAATCAGCGAGAAAGTTCTTTCGAGAGATGCATAATCCGCAGTCATTAAATATCCAACTGACGAATATATGGTATCAAAGGAAGACGGAGGTAACGTCATACTTACATTGGGTTTGAATATTTGAGGTCATAAAGTCAAGTATGAAGGTCAACATATCAATCATGATCGATGTTACACAAAACTGAGCGAGGCGGTCAGGAATATTTTATACTGACCACGCTGTAAACACCCGTATCTGAGCAGCCAACAGCATAGTCCAAGTGTTGAACGGCGTCACGAAGGAGAGCATGGACATGTTTACCGTCGAGAAGATGCATGTCAGATGTGTAAATGGCGAGGCTTAACCACATGAGATTAGGCATGGGATCGAACAAAACCTTGACATAATTGTAGTTGATCGAGCAGAATGACCTTAACTGAATGCTGAAGTTCACGAGATGATCAATATGCTCGAATTTAAACTGCGAAAAGAATGGATTAGTTTCACCAACGGAAACGTGAAGAAGAGAATTGTTGGGCACGACTATTAAAAGTTGGATAAAATAGGTTAAATCGACTAGGATAATGTTCAATTTACGTATATTGGGGCATGGTTCAACATTATGGTCGATTCTGAACTGGCCTCATTCTTCAAGGTCGATTTCGATGGACGACAATCGATTTCTATTTGCTGTAAAGAGTTCGCACACCTTAAATAGTGTCGCTTCACTGCGCATGAATCTTATGACGAACGAATCAAGGTGTGCAGGTCCATCGAACATGTCGAGACAGGTATACAACTCTTCACAAGTGACATTGTCAAGAACGAATTTCTCGAAATGTCGAAATAGAGTTGGCATTCGAGTCTTATAAAACGAACAGAAGACTTTTTCTTGCTCGGAACCCCTTGAAGTATCGATTGTCAATTGATGTATTTGATGACTGATTTCGGATAACACGCAAGAATAGACGTATGTTGCCTGCTTTACTGTTCCACCAGCGAGAGTTAGACAAGGTGCACAGGTGTGACAGATACGTTTGAACCGGATGTTAAGCGAGAAGAAGGAATAGAGAATATTCAAACACTCGAGATACTTGCATACGAGTAGAATAAGCCCGTCGGGTTGCTCTTCGAAGTAAAAAATATGAGCGGCTACAAGAGAAAGAAATTTATTGTAGATATCTTTAATAGTAATAGTTCAAGTTGTTTCTTCGAATAGTATTCACTTATCAACCTTCACAAAGGAATCCAACACGAACTGTTCTCGATCAGTAGATGTTAAGGAGCGTAGATATGTTTGTTAGAGAAATTGAAACCATTTGAAAAATCCAAAGACAGCTCATCTATCTTTCATAGCCTGATAGTACTTGAGCTCCACATTCTTACAGTGTACATTTGTTTTGTCTCAGGTCAAATTTGAAGGTCCAAAAAGATAATTGCAAGGGTGAACAACCACAAACAGTCAATGAGGTCACATAGGACTGTCGTCTCAAGTGTTTTTCAAAAGAATTCAACAAACAATCGAAACGAAGTATTTATCAGTCGAATGAAGCTGAATATTTTTAGAGCATCTATATTAATCATACGGACTAATCGACTGATAATGATGAGTGACACCTTTCTCCACTATTTCGAAATGTTCCAGAGTCATTTTTGTATGTTAGTAGACCTCACTAAGTGTTAGAAAACTATGCAAGAACTACGAGCAAATGCGTTAGTACATGGTCCTTTTTTTACGTGTGAGATAACAACGTGATGGTATGACAACAAAACGGACCAAAAGAATAATCTCCCTTCGCAAGGAATCGAACCTTCGTCTTCTGCTTTCCTGGCAGCTGCACTACCACTGTACTAGAAAGGAGTGTTTATTATTCGTTTTGCTCCGTCTTATGATCGAAGGAGAACACTTCGATAATAACATCCTTTTATAAGATCACATGACTGTCTTCCATAGAAAAGCTGAAATTGAACATTTATTTCATCATTTTCTCCATTTAAACTTGATCAAATCATAAAACCTAATAGATATTCAGAATTAGCATAAAAACTACCGAATCTGGCCTACAAAATTATATTAAATATATAGTTGTTTATTTTTTACGAATTTGTGCCCTTGCTTCGAGATTCAAAATTTAATAAAAGGATTATAGCCGCAGAACAACAAGGCAAGCGACAGATTCTTTTGGACTTTCACTAGCCTCACAAAGCCGTACCAATGGGCAAAATATGAGTTCGATTGGCATTGGATATCTGAGAACAATTATTCATAAGAATTCAGAACAGTTAAAAAAGGTCTTTCGAATCACATTAAGGAGCTGATTCATATCTGAAAGACCATTCATGACGATTAGATTTCCAACAAAGACTATTTTGTGTTTGGAAGGAAGTACAAGAAGTTTCACATCAACACAAACCTCAACACACTACTGTTTTGATCCTCTCAAGATAGAAGTTTTCATAAAGGTTTGTGACACGACTAACAATGATCTCCTCATCTCGCCACTACATTCCTCGACGACCCCTTGGCATCGTTTCGATGATCGATCATCAGCAGATTCGTCCATGTTTGCTTGTACGAGACACATAAAGTCAAAACCCTGAGAAGCTTCGCAAGAGAGACGAACTCCTAAAATAAAGAAAAAAGAAATAGCAGAAAAAACATAGATACGTTGAGGTGACCCAAAAGGATAAGATACAGACAAACGCAAGATTTGGCAAGGAAGAAGCAGCGAAATATGTAGAACGCTTATCGTTTCGTGTGGAGACCAGAGATGGACAAGTCAGCTATTTTTTCACACAAGTCAAGTCAAGTCAAGTCATTGGTAAAAATAAAAAGGGTTGAAGTCAAGTCAAGTCAAGTCAAGTCAAGTCATTGGTAAAAATAAAAAGGGTTGAAGTCAAGTCAAGTCAAGTCAAGTCATTGCTTCGAAGTCCAATATATCAAGTCAAGTCAAGTCAAATCTGCAATCTACCCAAGTCAAGTCAAGTCAAGTCTCAAGTCATTGACTTGTATTTTTTTAAGATTCATAATTTAATCATGTATCAATTTATTGAAAAAATATTACATCAGTTCCTTATTACATTTTAACGTGGTTAACATTTGCAAAGTCTTTCTTGACATCTTGGCCCTGTGTTGTCGAAATATAAAACCACTTTGTGAAAATATCGATGATTAGATTTTCTACAATAGATTGAGATAATTGAATTTGTCGTGGATGATTATTCTTATAATGAGCTTTTGAAAATGATGATGTTCTTGTTGTTTCATTAGTTTTAATGAATATATCAGTTATTTTTGTCTGATCTTTTTTGCTAGATTCGTTTAACTGGGCAAGCCATTCTTGATATTCTTTTCCATGTTGACTTTTTACATGTCGATTTATGTTCGATGTTACACCTTTATTATCATATTTTATTTTATTACATAATATACATTGGCCTGACCAATTTGTTTCATAAGTTTTGATGTTGACATAAAATTTATCTCGTACTGTTTTTGGAATATTAACAATTGTTTGTGATGTTGTTTCAGTTGAATTATCCGATGTAGAAGAAAGTACTGGAACAGGTGACAATATACACACATCTGGAGAATCAGGTGGAAGGTGGACATCAGCTTGTGAGACTAAATCACTCATATTCACAATTATGATACAAGTTGTAATTGATTTCACTAGTGTAATACAATAGCTCACATATGAATTACATTCATTTGTATAATCGCTTATATAACTGTTGATGTTGATGTTAGATATTGTCTTTTTTGGCGACCAAACAGACTAGAAGATTAAAAAAAAGAATTAATAAAATGTGATTGATGTTTCTATGTAGAAGCATTAGTCGGATTTAGTTCATTTTTAATTCGTCTAGTCTGTTTGGGGCCTTATTTTATACGTAGAATTCAGAGATAACATGACTAGAAAATGAACACTTTTTTATACGACAGCTATGAAAAAGAAAAAAGTGAATTCTCATACAAGAACAAAAAAATAACTTTACATAATGCGAATGTAGTATGTATATAAGCTGCGAAAAATATCTGACTTGACTTGTTTTTTTTCGTCAAGTCACAAGTCCAGTCAAGTCAAAAAAAATTAAAAGCCAAAGTCAAGTCAAGTCAAGTCATGAGTCACCGAAAAAAATTTTCAAGTCGAGTCAAGACAAGTCGCAAGTCATCTAAAAAATTTTCAAGTCAAGTCATTCAAGTCAAAAATGACTTGACTTGACTTTGACTTAAGTCATTTTTAACTTGACTTGCCCATCTCTGGTGGAGACATCAGTCACTTCTTGATATGACTACAAACCTAAATGTCTGTTTTTAATGTTCTGCTTATGTCATCTTTGACATTTTCATTATTTTAAACTAATTAGTTTCAATCACTTGCAATACATTAGTATCAGTCTTATTTGACGACATATAATAATTGTTCCTGAAATATCTGTCGAGATATTGTTGCTTGAACAGTATATTTCATCATTCTTGGTGCGACGATATGAAACCGGGTAATTCATGGTTTACTTTTGACTCAATCAGTTAATGTAAAAACAGTAGAATCATCAGATACTTGACTACGAATTGACAAGAGACTGAAAATAAAGAACTCACTTTCATTCGGTGTAGTCTATGGCATCTCACGAAAATGAAATATGAAGTAATGTTGATGTCATTTGTAACGATATAAGAAAATACATGATTTTATCGTATACTGTGGAAAAAAACCTATATTGCTATAATTAGTATAGGAAAATTTGTTTTCCTCATTTGATACACACATTTCAGTAGACCTCTTTCACTAGACTTATTCAAAGTGAAAAGAACATGATTAGAAGAAGTGTCTTACTATTCGAATTATGTTGCATAAATAAATGACTTTTCTGTTGTTTTAACTTTGGAGGGAACAAGCTATAGCAAGACGACTAGTGTTGGTTTTCATTTCAAATCGCTCCTTAGCTATCGTAAAGTGCGTACGGAAGAATGAGAGCTTTTACTGTAATTTTTGCTTTTGAGTAAATGATGGTTTAATTATTATTGTGGTTGAATCTCTTCTTTTTTTTTCAAATTTGCTGCCGTTGTGCACAACCCTTAATTATTATCTATGTACACCAGGTAGCTAAAGCTGTTGTGATCCATCCAATACAACAGATACAAGCGTCTCAACAACAGGAGAAACTAAAGCACCTTTGTAATAGAGTTTGGGACCCATATCACGCATCTATTCTGTTGACTTTTAGTAGTCTGGTTATCCTAATCAAGTTTCAATGAGTTTAACAAGACATATTGTAGAACCGCGTGAAAACTGTGAACTTTAAATTTTTTTATTATTCGCTGTTATTTTATATTGCTTGTTCAGAGTAGAACTTTTAATTCCATTTTTTTAATATTTATAAGTCACTTTTGTTTTAATTATTCTGAGTCCTAATATAATAAAAAATATTTCCTTTAATAATGTGTTACAACCAGTATTTTAGTTATTTAAATAAAATTGAAGACTAAATTCATGGATGCTATTCAATCAATAAAAAGAAAACATCGTTCAAATATGAATAAACAAATTGAAATTAAATGATAAAATTGATTTCAACAGGATTCTCTCGATGTTTCATATTCTTTCCATTTCAAATTTTTACTTCTTATTTGAAGGTTATGATTGGACTTTAGTAGAATATAGTATCTGATTAATTGGGATTTATAACTGAGTAGCTGTAAAGCTGTTTCATAGAAAAATAACATCAATTGAAAATTGTTTAAATAATATTCGTAGTTAGATTAAACCAATGTTTTTAAATATTTGATCAAGTTCACAATGATTAAGATAATTCCGATGTAATGTTGATAACTTTACATAGTATTTCAGAGTCGTTTGTTTATCCATCAAGGTTACAATATATATATATATGACCAATATGGTTGTATAAAATATTTTCTGCAGCATGTGTATGTGAGACTGTTTTGTTTGTAAATAAGATTTAATGAATGCATGAAATAATGGTAACCAACATAGGAATTTCCTATTTTAGTCTTCATTAAATATAATCTAATGCAGGTATTTATCATAAGAGGTAAGTTGCTTCCGTTGGCTAAATAGATAATGAGAGCTTTCAGGCAAGACATGAGTGCCGCTATTAACTAATCATATGTATTATAGATAAATCCGACATATTCACAGGTTTGAACATAGTTCGTACCTTTTTTTTACTAGATCGAGTTCGTTTCACAATTCGAAATGCTGTTTTATAAAATTTGAAAGCATGTTGATACTTACCAACGTAATAGTTACAAAAGAGTCCGCCAGATCGCTTACCTATGTAATTGGAACACTGCCACCGCTAGTTTTGATTTTCGATTTAACTATCTGAAATGGTAGTTAGACCATCATCACGAACTTCTAAGTACAAAATATCAGCTCATTCACACAAGCCTGTGAAAAATGTCTTAGAATTCAACTGACACTATTCTCGGCATTTAGCCAATAAATCTGTATTTTAGGGTATTGTTGCTATTATGCACCTTTCTCTGTGTCCTCTCATTGGTTCGAGTTGAGTAACATCTAAAAAAAAAATGTGGAAATGTTTTTTCTACAAAGTTAGATAATTCATTAACTTACAACATGCATCCAAAGTTGACTATTGGATAAAACAAAAATGTTCTAGTATTTTGACTCTAACTATGCTAGATTATGATATCCAAGAATTATTCATATCTTTTATGAAAGTCTTTGAAATTCTGTATCGTTTTTAGGTGTTACTTCGATACAATAAAACATCAACGAAAAGATTTAGCTCATATAATAGAAGTTGATGGATGATGCCTATTTCTAGCCATTCTGATTCATAATTAGGATACTACATATTTTATATTCACTCGAATCAAAAATATAGCTAAAAATGCATAATCAGTATGAAGACTAAAATATAAAAATGTTACTTGATTCAATGTAAAGTTAATCGAATTACAAATATTCTATCGAATACTGACTGTTTGGGTGTTCCTCAAAGCATTTATTTATAGACACTTTTAGTAAGTCTCTCTAGTCTTTTTGGGTTTCGTTGTATTGGTGAAAAAATTAAAATGACCTCACTGTTGATATCAAAGACATACTAAACTGGTAAAATTGTATCCACATCTGTCACTTTTTATGATCATCGCCTATCCTGATAACAAAATGAATAGCATATTCGATATAAGCGCAAAAACTGCATTTCTTAAAAAATGAATTCTGTCAAAATATATGTCATTCGACGTAGCTTTTTCTCCTCATTTCGAATATAATGTTCATTTTGCTATCAGACTAGACTATGATGATAAAAACTGTCAAACGTGGATACAAATTTACTTGTTTTGTATGCTTTTAACATCAACATCAAGGAAATTTCAATTTTCTCACAAATAAAAAGAAGTCCAGAAATAAGAGGGGTTTTACCAAAATTTCTTTAAATAATTAAATGCTTTGAGGTATACTCAAGCTGTCTGTATCTAACTAGATATTTTTAATTCAATTAACTTTACATTGAATCAAATAACATTTTTATATTTTAGTTTTCATGCTGATTATGGACTTTTAGTTATATTTTTGATTCGAATGAATATAAAATATATAGTATCCTAGTTATGAATCAGAATGGATAGAAATAGGCATCATCCATCAACTTCTATTATATGAGCTAAATCTTTTCGTTGATGTTTTATTGTATCGAAGTAACACCTAAAAACGATACAGAATTTCAAAGACTTTCATAAAAGATATAAATAATTCTGGGACACCATTATCCAGCATAGTTAGAGTCAAAATACTAGAACATTTTTGTTTTATCCAATCGTCACTTTTGGCTGTGTATTGGAAGTGAATGAGTTACCTAATTTTATAGAAACAACATTTCTACATTTTTTTGAGATGTTACTCAACTCGAACGAATGAGAGAACGCGGAGAAACGTGTATAATACCAAGAACATCCAAAAATACCAATTTATTGACTAAACATGGGTGTCGGGGAGCAACCAAAAATGGGGGGGGGGGCTACCCTATAAAATCCTACTTTCCAAAAATTTTGGGGACGAGTAACCAGTGTTACCAGATCTGTCAGATTTTGAAAGTTTTTCTGGATTTTTCTCGATTTTTTTTTCGATTTCTTCTGAATTTCGGCATCTGTTCAGGACTTTTCTCGATTTTTTCTGGATTTTGAGATTTGAATTCCGGATTTTCGAGTTTCACATCTGGGAACACTCGATTTAACTTACAGAATGGTGCTTAAGGTAGAATAAGTTTTATTTTCTGAAATACCATGCAAGACAATTTTTCGAATATTGGGCCCCCTCAGTTCGCGACACCCCTGTGAATGAGAACTTCAACATTTAAAATTAAGGAGAGTAGATAAGTATAAATGCATAAGATACTATTATAGTTTAGAGATTCATAAAAAGTTGAGTGTTGCACGATATATCAATTCATGAGATACAGCTAAGATCCGATTATTGGGGGGGGGGGGGGGGGGGGGCCCCCCCCCCCGCCCCCCCCCCCCGGCCCCCCGCGCCCGCCGCCACCACCCCGGACAAAGTCCCCCCCGCGACACCTCGTGCTTC